AGAGTCCGTTTATCAGCTTATCTCATTTTGATATGTTAAATTTCTTATCCTAAAAAAATTGTAAATCTGAATTGAAATTCATCCAAAAACATTCACCCAAAGACATTCAGCCAAAAATAAATACGTTACAGCAGTCACTCTTGTGAACTGTATAACTCGTGCATACACTTTATCATTCGTATATGTCTATTGCCATTCTATGATAAGACAGCGTGAAATGATGGGTTCATGAATGAATCATAATAACTCGATTATTACCGAACTGTTACATTATTAAGTTTACCCCTTGAACGCTTCAATTATAAGTGCCGCGTAACGTATAAATAATCTGCAATAATTTGAATAAAAAATGCCGCATTTACATGCGAACTTCAACATTTTTTATTAAAATTTCGAATCCATTTCTTCGTCTTGTTTTACACTGCATAAATAATTAAATAACCAATGAAATTATTTGTTACTATAATAATCACGTTACATTTACCTTTGATTATAAGTGTTATTCTCTTACTCCAAATTTCTAAATAAAATTTACAATTATAACATACCTCTCTATGGTCTTACTTTTATAGAGGACATTTATTGGAGCACTTTACTACTTTCAGTTAAAAACAAGTATATGTGTCTATTGTCATTAATCAACTATTTTATGAAAATGAGACACGTGCACGAATCATTGCAGAAATTTTGTAAATAAATGTACCTTTCCTTCGCACATATACAAAGGAATATTGTTTAATGCAACTTGATACAGTTCGAACAATTGATTCTCGCATGTATTCTTGATGCATTCTCACGAATGCATGATTATGCATTCGCGACTTACTGCACACAGTCAAGTAAAAATATGCAACCACAATTCAACCACCTATCATCCTGCAGTGAGTAGTTTCCTCTTTTAATGCGTCATGACTTTTATCATAGGTCTACCTCCCCCAGTAGTCGATGCGGACATTCTTTTAACGACTGCTTTCCTGTAGCCTGATATTACCCATCTTCTACTTGAATATATTAAAATTTCTGCACCTCCATGTTTTCATATTAAAAAAGAATAAAATTACCGCCCCCACCTCGCCAAGAAATACCATATAAATAATAAAATATTAAATAATTTGTTTGCATTCATTGATATCTTAAGGCAGAAGATTTTATGTGCATCTGTGTTACATTTTTGTGACTGTAAAATTGAAAATTTATAGTATGTCGTTTATCCTTTAAACGATGTGAGCATGTTATAAAAAAATGCAACGAGCAGTTTACAGAACTGGAAGTATACAATGGAAACAGGTGTATACCTGCTGAATATACTTCAGGTATACAGACAGAAAAGATACAAAAGATATGTCATAAATTTAAAAGTAAAATTTAATTGCAGCAGTAATTTGTTGATGAATATATAAAATTCAATATGGTGTTACCTAATGATATATTTTTATTGGGAAATAACATATTATGTTCTGTAGCCACAGTATGGCGGACAGGAAGTGGTTTCTTGAAGCTTCAAGAAATACGATTGAAATTTGACAATTTCCAGACTTTTATTGAATGAGACATTTTTAATCATTCAGTTAGAGTGTTTTAGAATTTTGTGGGTGTCTAATATGTAGGCATTTGTTGAAAAAACTATAAGAATAATAGTACTCGGATAGTACAGAATTCGGTCTGTTCGAATTGGTGGTTCTATTGAGCCATCGGTGTCGTCACTTCCGCGTTCACGGTGTTGCCAAATCGACCATTGTTTCACTCGCTAAAGAAGCCCTTGTGTGGTTCGTGTTGTGCCAGTGGGTCCAAGTGAGTTGCAGTTGGTCGTTTCACGTGGTATCGCGACAGTTAAAATAGTTATGTCGTGCTGTGAAAAGGAGAATTATGACAAATACGATAAAAAATAGGAAGCGACTGCCTTGTGCATTCGTAAAATAACACGTATATCATTGCGCGAGGCGAATAGCAGACTGCCAACCAAGCTTTAAAAGTAAAACCCACCGAAGTTTTCTGGTAAAGTAGGTAAACCATAATTAGATATAACACGTTGCAGCATATACGAAGTTAAAATCCGTGGTAGTAAACAAAGAACTTTTCTTTCTGCCTCGTATTGCAATCGGTGTGGAAAGTATTGGTACAGTAACCAAGCGAAAATAAAATATTGTGTATATGTATTTCCATACCAGTAGTAAATTTTAAGGGAAAAATTTGATTAATATATATTCTGACATGTTTGTAGAATAAATTTAGTGTAAACAACATTTTATTCCCATCAGCATTTACAAAAGTATCATCAAAAATAGATAAATGCAAAAACATGTAGAGATCATCTTTAAAAACCATCTTTATTCTAATGTAAATAAAATAGGACGTATCTTGATGGACAGTCATAATTATCAGACATTAATCCTATCGAACATGTATGGGATTATCTGGAGAAAAAATTTGTAATAATAATATTACATCTAGCTACACTAGAAGAATGGTGTAAAATATAGCTTGCAATAACATCCAACTTAACGAATTCAATGCCAAGAAGGCTCAAAGCTATCATTATAAAATCAAAAAACAATTACACAAATTATTGGAACATACAATACTTAGCTCATTTTCATAGTTTTTACCTCCATTTTTGGACTGTAAAAATACTTTCTTAATGGGAATAAAATTTAGTTTAAACTGAATCTATTTTACAAATTTCTAAAAATATTTATTAATGATTTCTCCTCCATATGAATATACAAAGTTTTATTTTAAATTAATCAATGTATGAATATTTTCTACATGAATTGTACATTTATTATTTTCTTTCTGACATTCAGTGTGCGATATCATTTCATAATGTTGTTCTCAAAATGTTCTTTGTATCTCCTTGTATATAGTTTTTAATGCAATCGCCAAGATGCATGGCTGTAATTGCCAGTAAAACTTCTGGTTTCCTTTCTTATTTACTGTAATAAGTTCATATGTATTTTTACTTACAATATTAAATGGCAAAATACCTATAAGAATCACTTATGGACTCATCAACTGATTTAATATTGAATGTCAAATTAGTTGCTAGTGATATATGCTTGATTTTAAAAAAAATGTTCTACTATGCTTGACTGTATCATGATTGATATTGATTACAAATCTAATTTTAATTTTGTATTACGTGATCTTTATGCAACACAAAAATTNCAATATTAAATGGCAAAATACCTATAAGAATCACTTATGGACTCATCAACTGATTTAATATTGAATGTCAAATTAGTTGCTAGTGATATATGCTTGATTTTAAAAAAAATGTTCTACTATGCTTGACTGTATCATGATTGATATTGATTACAAATCTAATTTTAATTTTGTATTACGTGATCTTTATGCAACACAAAAATT